GGGGGGATGGCGGCGGCGGCCATGGAGGGGGCATTCATATTAGATATTATTTTGAACGATAGTAATTGAAAACAACACAATCTAAAATTCATAATAAAATAAAGGTATATATACATAAAATAACCATAATAAAAAATATATAAAAATAAAGATCACGTTAAATATACGTAATGAAAATAAAAATTATACAAGGTATCAAAATAAAGGAATAAAATAATAGAGATTAAAGTGATACGAGATACAAAGTTTGTTAGAAAGAAAAATGAAAGGAATAGAGCCAAGAGAGAAAAAGACGTTGCATCGGTTGACGAAGCCGAGAGCCCGAGACCGAGCCATCCTTGCTCTTTTCTTGAGCCGAGTGAGGTACCATTTGGCTGAGCCTTTACCCTCTATTTTGGCCAACACCACAACAAACTTGCTCGGATCCTACATACCATACATAAATTAGAATATTATCGATAAATCAAACCAACCGGACATAAGCACCAATTAGATTGGAAAAAAAAAACACCCGAAGCAAATTTCTCAATGAGGTCATCTTCAGTCAAGTCGAGCACCTCTGGGCTGAACACAGACCCATTGTCATAAACAGAGATGACAACAAGCCCGTAAGAGAAGGGCCTGATACCAAGCGTGGCAAGGAGGGCAGGCTTCAGAGGAGCCCACTTTTTCGCCCTTCTTGATGAGCTCGACTGGGGTTATGATTTCGACTGTACCCTTGTTAATCTTAGTTGGGATGTTGAGGACCTGTGGATATATAGGTTCCATTAGAAAAATGAATACAATAGATTGAGAAAGCAAAAAAAGGAGCACAAAGAAGTAATAATGTGAAGACGAAGATGTACTTGGAAAAAGAAAGTTTGTGATAGGTCGAGACCGGTGTTGCCAGGCGGCACGACGACATCAATTGAAGCAACCAAACCGACACGAGCTGGTGTTCCGACCTGTTAAACAACATCGGAAAAACAAAACAAGGTAAGCGATATACAATGCGACTATTAAAACAATAAGTGCAATTCAAACAAGAGAAACCAAGATTGTTCACTGATTTATGACCATGCTGCCCAGCCTTATATATTTGGAGTTTTAATTTTCAGAAAACAATTGCGCAAAACATATTCCAAAGACTGCTACATTGAATAACACTGTAACTATCTTCGAATAAGACTGAAACATTGGCAGTAAAATTCAAAAACACAAAATACAATCCACTTTAAAAAACAAAGTAGGTGTGAAACAGACTCAAGCTACAGTTTTCACGTATAATGAATTTCAATCGGAATCAACGAGCTACATTTACTTAGATTCAAGTGCATGCATTCACTGAAATTCAAGGGTGAATTTCACACTACCCCCATGGAATTTTACCACATACTTTTACACGCACCCATAGGGATTTGATTGGGGGTGTGAATACAAATGTGAGATGAAAAACTCCATGGGAAAATGCCGCATTAGGTGTTCAAACATTCTAAGCTTTGTGTCAAAAGTTACCGTTTCACAATTGCAGAGTCTAAGAACAGTAAACCTCACCGAGCTACAAACAAACAATAGTTTGTAAATTCTTACTATCTCACCATATCAACAAAGCTTGTTTATCCACATAATGACAAAGTGACATCAAATCAGAGCTATAACATGTTGAAATTGTCAAAATCGCAAAAAACACACCCAAAGATACTTTACACGGACTTGATAACATCAGAAAAAGGCACAAATGTATAATCCTATTCTAATCAAACACACAGAAACTTACAATTAGCTACATCACAGATGACTAGGCACTTTATACTTCAACAAAGACCCTTTATATTTGAACAAGAACTATACAGGATAACCAACTCACCTTGTACTTAGCAACTTCCTCAATGACTTCCTTCAGATCACCCTTGGTGAAGATCAGCCCAACATTCCCCTGCCCAAACAGAGCAACAAAAAAAGTTCAAATTTTTGCACATTAATATAATAACATGACTAAATGATGCTCGAAACTCACGACTAGGAGGGGAATGATATTGAGAATCGCCTTGTTCCCCCTCTCCGTATGTTCTGGAGCTGGTTCGAGCCAACGTTGTCGGCGGCCGCCACCAGAACCTGCGTGTACTCATCGAGCAACTGACAGAGCTTCGAGTCGTAAGCGATCTTCTTCTCGGCCTTGGTAATCTTTGGCGCCATTTCTATCAGCTACAGCTAAGTAT